AAGCACTCTTTTTGCAACAACAACAACAAAAGCCTGAATGCGCTTACGATTCAAATGGCACACACATATATGAATTGCATCATGATTTGAAGAAAAAAAAAATGTTGTCGATGTTTTTTTCACTTTGAGGCAAGAAAAGGAAATGGTGCAAAAATGAGAAACTATCTTTTGATAAGGTTATTCAACACATGAAACACAAAAAAAAAAAGAAAATCAAAATGATGCAAGAGATTTGCATTTGGGTGTGTATAACAGATTTCGTGTTGTTGTTTGATTTCGATTTTTCATCGTTTCGCCATGTATATTTATTTCATTCGATGCAACACATCATCACACACAACCACACATACGATTGAAAAGAAAATAAGACAATAGTTAGAACACATATTAGTTGTCTTTGTTTTTGGTCGACCAACCGACTAATGATATCTACACACTACACACACCGGCTGTCATGCAATCATTTTTAGTTTCACTGCACTTTTTTCGCTGTACACTCTTCTCTTTTTTTTTGCGTTTTAACGAAAAATTGCCAGAATCTAAATGTGAGCACAAACTTTTAAAATCGTTTACGCAATGTCAAAGTAAAACCGTTCACAATCCATTGATAAATCAATGAAGAAAAATATGCACAGCGAAAAAGTGAAAAAGATATAGAATTTTTAACGCAATTTTTTGCCACATACGTTTTGTGTATCAACAACAAAATTACGAATCGAGACTTATTTTTTTTACTTGAATTGAGGTTATGCTCAATAATTCATTGCACTGCATTGTACCGATATTGTGTTGAAACAGTGCAGACGACAACATAAAATAAACCGTTGTGTGTCTTCTGACTTTTTCTTCGGGGTGTGCGCACGGTGTAAACAAGCAAATAAAAAGCCGTAAATTGTGAGAGAGAATTTTTTTTTTTTGAACTATAAGACAAAAAAAAGAAGTTTAATCCATTTGTTTTGTGTTCTATTTTAATCTTGGACACCACCATAACTTAGCGGTCAGTTCTTTTTTAATTCATTTGCTAATGCGAAGCAAAGACTTCATTAGCAAGTCGAAATTACCGGACAATTTGTGTTGGGTGTGTGTTTGTCTCTCTCTCTGTGTGTGAGAACACTACAAGCGACAATAAATGGCGTTTGGCAAACAAAAAAAATGTGTGGTGTGTTCAAATTGCATACACGTTTCGCGATGAATAACAACGGAACCGTGCTTTGAATTAAAAAATAAAAAGAAATAAAATACAAACGGGTAAATATTTTTCAGGACGCCACTTTATTTCTTTTATGTCAACATAAAATATGACTGAAACTGAGACGCAACGATTGCATGAAACATGAACAGAATGCTGAGAACAGAACCGACAAAAAAAAACTCATCCTGCATAGCCAAACCCAGAAAAAAAATCGGTCGTGGAAAATCCATAAAACGATATGTTAGGCTGGATTAATTAAAGAAAAGTGCTCATATAGCGCGTCTAGATTTTATTTTCAAATTGGCGTACACTGAAGCTGCCGGCAATAAATTTACGATCGTAGATTCAAATACACTAAACACAAAACACATATAACATTTCACAGAAAGATAAAAAAAAAACAGAAAATCTCTTTTTGCTGACGGTCGAGTTCACCTACTCTTTAAATCTGGTTTACTTGTTTGTTTTCGCAGCACACAATATATTTTTTTTCTTTTATCAAAACAAAACACGAAACGCTCAAAATGCACAGAAAGAAAGAATTGAGCAATTGAAATTCCACCCAAGTAAAAAGTCAGAATTGAATTCCGTTTTTAATGCAAAATGTTGTGAGGTGTCGCTAAATCTCGACCATGCCGGCTCCAACAATCCAATGCTCTTTTATGTTAGACGATATTTTCACGACATTTCTCGTGAAAAAGAAAAACCAATAAATTTACGGTGAATGTGTGTGTGTCGAACGTGCGGTGAGTAGATCATTGCATGTTGCAACTACTTGAATTGAACAAGTTTCAGTCGGCGGCGTTTTTTTTTCGGCCTGGTGTGAAAAATAAAACAACACAAATTTTAAAATGAAATTTATCAACTTGTCTGTCTGTTATGATTGTTTGAGTAAATTTCGCATGAAGAAACATATTTATCGGCAATTTCGATCGTCTTTCTCATTCTCTCTGGCACAAAAAAAAAACATCGAGCTGTTGCATCGTAAATATTGACAGCCTTTGCAGTTTTCCCCCGGCATTGCAGTAAAATGCAAATAGAGAGAATTGTTGTTTTTTTTTTGACGGAAAAGAGGCCAATACACACATGAACCGCATAGTTTTATCGACTACCGATACATTTCAGTATGCAGAATATTATAATAAATTTCTAGGCATTACAATGCCATTTTAATGATGATTTTTCGAAGTGGGTAACGCATTTAATGTTTGGGTGGATTTATTTTATGTGTTTCCAGCAAACATACTCATAAGATATCATCTACACATAAAAAAAGCACAACAACTTGTCGATAAAACTACATCGAATTTAATTACGTTTAAAGAAATGTGCAGTGTGAATGAAGAGAAGAAAAAAGAAATACAACGAACACAGCACCAAGCGTCCAACAGTCAGAGCTCATAAGTTATTGATTTTTGATTCCACACAAATACACTTAATTTATGTACGTTCATTCGAACCCGTTGCACAACATTTTGGAAATGCTCATAATGTGGTTTCTTTTTCATCGAATCGCCATGCCTAAATCGAGAGTCAACAATAAAAAAAATACACACAACCAAATTGAAATTAATTCGCAGCAACAAAACGAAGAAGAAGAAGAAGAAAAGGAGTAGGTGTTTTGAGTTGGACGAAATGGATATGAAAGGCCAGAATTGGTGTTTGCCAAAACGATTCGATAAAATTGATATAGCTATCTATTGCACCGATTTAGGTTCCGAAACACACTTGCTTCACACATAGTATTGTGCTGTACGTCGTTTGTCAGTCCATTTCGTAATCGAATGGGAATTGGCGAGTTTACTGATTAAAATCGAATAATTAATGTGTGTGTGTACCGAATTCACGGCAATTGATGGCTCATACCGCAACACCACATTCAACATTTGCATTACAACGACACTGAATCGTATAAAATAGATACCGTCTCTCACAGACAGCATGGCTATTTGTCTTCTTAACAGAAACCAAAAAAAAAAAACAATCAAAATTTATTTCGATTTGAAATTCGAATAACACACAAACGCACACACATTCGCACATCAAAAGTAGAACTTGAAAGGAACGAGCTCATGTTGACTTTTTAACGCAAAATGAGATCACTTAACATATAAATTAAATGTCAATGATGCAAATGTATCGATGATTCAAAAGCGATCGAGTGCTACTGTTGTTTTCATCTCTTTTTTTTTCGCACCCGAAATGGAACACACAGTTCTACACTCATTGCATTGTAGCAATAGCTATTTTCCGTGAATTAAACGTGTCGATCGCACATTTAGATTAGGACCGAACTTAAGTTTGAGTAGGTGCAATATTCCGCATGGAATCGATTTTTCTTCGTTACATTGGTTTGCTATTATTTTCTCCGCTTATAAATCATTTTCGAAATAGCAATCTATTTATTTTCTCATTGCTTGGTTACGAGATAATTTTTTTAATTAAAATTCACATTTTGTCGATCGAACGAGAACGAACATGACTCTAAATTTGTAGATGTGTGTGTGTGTTTTTGCATGGAAATGCCATACCATAGTTTTCATTTGTCTGTTGACTTATAATTCGCCAAAGTTGAATTTAATAGAAGTTAAATTTAGTTTGCGGCACGCACATAGGCACCATTTAACTCACACTTCACTCAATAAGGCGATGGCGGACACTCTTCTCGTATGTTTATCTATGTTTTACCCGCTTTCTATCTGACAGACGCTTAATATTTTGCTTCAGGTTTTGAAGTAGATTCATTTGGTAGATGAAAACAGATTAGTTCTTAGCCGCACCATTGTATGGATGAAAAACTTCATTTTGCCGAAAGTCATACGACTCTCGGCAAAAATATCTTTATTATTAATAGCGATTGCGGTTATTCCGCTCTGGACTGGATTGCACATCGAAACAAAAGTCGAAATGAAATTTAATTATTTAAAGATTGTCTGCGCCATTTTTGAATTCAATGCTTAAACAAAATGTTTGCTCTTGAAGTTTCGACTAGAAAATATTCCACCGGCCATTTATTAAGAAAAAGCGAAACCAACTGAATAAGATAAGAGATACAATGAAACATCTCTTTCTCTGCAGAACACGAAATAGTTGACTTCATTTTTATCATAACACTTTTTTTGTATAGATAAAATTAGGAAAATCGATTCTAATTTACATTCGCTTCTTCGATCTTCTCGATGGTCGCTTATTCCGCTTCGATTGTCACATAATCATGCGAATAAATCAATATGATTCCATATTTTTGTTATAGACGAGCACACAACATTGTCTATGTTGATGAATTGTGTCTAGGAAAGAAAAAATAGAGAAATTTTTTGTAAAAAAAGATAAAGCGAAATACACGCCCAACTAAGCGTGTCGTGCACTCATCAGCAACCGTAATCAGAAGGGAATAATTTTGTTCTGTTTTCATTGCGCACAGTTCATCTAAATTTAGAAGAAGCCCAATGCCAAGCCAAAAATTGTTAGTCGTTGTTTACATTAATGTACGTGCTTATGCATCGACGTTGAATTGTGTCGTGTGTGTGTGTGAGTGAGGGTATGTGTACGTTTGTACGTATACATGTCACTTTCATTTGCAACTGCATCTAATTAACAAACATGAAATTGCTTTCTTCACAAAATGAAAAGACGTTGGGATTAAAACACACGCCAAAGAACGCAATAGAATTTGACTATTTATAGGAATTTTGAATGTCGACATTTGTCGTGAACAAATAAATAAATAAATTCACCGCAACATCAACAACAACAACAACAAACATGGAGAATAATATGTGCCTTTATTTTTTATTATATTTCCCAGTGTTACCAACGAATAATTCAGTTCCTATTGAAAACGTGGTGGTAGCTGAAAGCGGCGAAGATTCAGACGACGAATGGAATTACATTAAAGTCGATAAAGAGAAACAACCCGAACAGGAAAATAAAACGCCAATCGAATTGGAGATTGAACAACCGGAAGAGGCTGCTTCAAGTGAACAACATCAAGAAGAAGCCGTTGAAGAAGACATCACATCACCCACACCGCCAACTGCATCGATTGGCGAAACAGACTTTGTCAATCAACAATCACATGCAATAGCTCAGGCATTTGCCGAGCCAGAAGAAGTTTGCACTGAGGTATTCATTTTATTTTTATTTCTTCGATTCAATTCTGTCATTTAAATGAAATCCATTTTATCGTTTCATACTGAACAAATGTTTTATACTATTTTTACTATTTATTTTGTGTAGCTACTCGAAGAAAAACAAGAAACCGAACATCCAGAGCTATTTGAATTGGATCGGGCTGAACGTTCATCGTCAGTTGCTGCTGAACACGATTCGGATTTGGGTAACGAACACTTAAACATAGCATTTCCATTATTTAATAATTATTGTTATTGATTCTTTTTCAATTATTTGTCGATTATTTAAAATTAATTCTAATCTTTTCTTTTGTGATTCTCCCCCAGGTAACGAACAAGACTTAGAAGAAGAGATGGACTCACAATTGAATCCAAATGCCGAAGAATTTGTTCCGGTGTCGCCACAACGTACATCGGTCAGTTCACCATTTGGCAATGGATTGACCAATCGTTTTGATTTGGACGATGAAGTGGTATCGCAAAGTCCACGCAAAGGAACGGCAATTTTAATGAATGACAATGATATTGTATTGCCAGCTGAAAATGATTTCACCGAAATATCACAGCGACCATCCGAATTGACAGCAAACGAACTCAATTTCGATAATATCCAATGTGATAATGAAAATGTCGTTACCGTCACTACCACGGTCGCTGATGCTGTGACCAATGATACCAATCTCATTACCACTGCTGATGTTGATGAATTAAAAGATGTTAAACGTCCCGAATCGTCCAGTTCACAATGTTCGTATCAGGAAATGAATTTGAAAGAAGCAATGCACGGTGATGAAAAGCAAGAATTGGCTGCTGAAGATCCAGATACACTATTTGCCGGTGGTGATGTACCAACAACCAATGGTGGTGGACAACAATTTTCCGAACGTGATCCAATGAATATGTCATTCTATAATGATGAAAATAATCCATTCAAGGAGCAACAAGAAGTTGATATGAATGCCGTTCAACCATTGCCCGATGATATGGACGATGATGTTTCACAAGAAAATGAATTGGTTGATTATGTATCGAAACCGGTTGTATCGAATAATCACTTGTTAAACGATATGCAAGGCGAAATGGAGGAATTGGTCAAGGAATTCTCATCAGAAGGTGAAAAATTGAATATTAATAGTGAACAACTTCAACAGCCGACTCCAATCACAAACTTAGTTCAGGAACTGGCCACAGAATGCAAGTCGATTTTACTTGAAGATAATGAAGATATTAAACAAAATGTTCCAAATTCCTACTACGCTGAACATGATACAGAACTTATGGGTGCAACACCAGTTGATCTCGATGAAATTAACCGCAATAGGGCCATTGAATGCGACAGTTCAGGTTCGTTTTTGTTTAACTTGTGCATTTTTACGATTTTATTTTATCTCTTGTGCCTTTTATTTTTTCAATTTTTTTTAGTTAAAGATATGTTTACCTTCTCGGAATCATCTCTGAATGCCCATGAATTTATACCGAGTGCACCAGTTTCAGATATGGACATTGATCCAGTCCGATCGGCTGGCGTTGTTGAATCAGAGTTAAATATCTTATCTGAAGATCGACATGAATTTATGCAATATGAACAACCGTTCATTGTGTCCGACGAACCAAGCGTTGAAGAAATTGTGGCTCCAATCGAACAACCAATTGAACCCGAACCTCAATCTCAGCCAGAACAACCCGAACATCCAATAGTCGAAAGCACCGTCAATGAACCGATTGTTGCGGCCGCTGCTGTAGTCGCAACTACAGCTGCCGTTGCTGCGGCTGCTGTTGGTGTTGCAAAAGCTGCTTCGCCCAAAACCAAGACAACCGAAACGAAAAAACCAGAAGTCAAGAGTAAATTAACAGCAACAAAGAAACCCACTACTACAACAACAGCGCCAAGAGTGGCAGCATCGAAATTGGCTGCAAAACCAAGCACAACTACTGTACCAAAAACCACGGTCACATCAAAAGTTGCATCGCGCACCGTTGCACCAAAGGTCGGCACCACTACTGTGGAAAAGAAAACAACCACATCAACTATCACACGTAAACCACTTAGTAACGGATGTAAGTACATTTATATTTATGCATTTTAATCAATGAAATTAATGCTAAATGCATTGGCGTTTGACTCATTCTTTTTCTTAGCTGGCATTACATCGACATCGAGTGTCGCGAAAAAGACAACTACATTGAGCACAGCCACAAAATCGGCCACAGGAACTACGCGTACATCGGGTACTACATTAAAACCGGCTACAGCACGCACATCTAGCGCAACCACTACCGGTAAATTACAATTTATGTTCAACCTACATTCGTAAATTATTCGTTCATATTTATTTGTTATAGCTACAAAAACATCGCTTTCAAAACCAGCCGGTACAAGCACAACAGCTGCTCCTCGAGTTCCATTGAGTGCAAGGTAAATTATTATTTCGTGTTGTTGTAATGAAATCTGAAATCAAGATGAACTATCAATTTTTCGGCTCGTTTTCAGAACTGTATCTAAGCCAGCATCAAGCGCAACTTCAAAGGTAACAGCTACAAAGACCACAACGGTATCATCAACGACGCGCGTAAAATCGGCACCAGTTTCAACAACTGCTCGTTCAACGACATTGACGAAACCAAAAACATCGCTAACTGCAGATAAACCAAGCGTTACAAAATCGACCGTTACAAAAGTGTCTCCAACAAAGACTTCGACACTAACTGCAGCTAAGGTATGGGAATTATCAGTTAACTATTCTTCGTTTGCACCGTATGTACAATACTAATTTATTTAATCAAATGTTTGTAGAGTCCAGCGGCAAGATCGTCGTTGTTAAGTGCATCAAAGACAACACCAACGCGAAAACCACTTTCGACTCAATCGAAAACACCGATCACCAAATCGCCGAGAGTGCCTACAACAAATGGTGTTGCAAGCAAGACTAAGGTTGTAGCTAAAAGTGCCGTTGGTGCTGCTGCCACTGCCGCCGTTGCTGGCATTGCTGTTGGCAAAGAAAAACAGGTGACAACAAACGGAAATTCCAATTTGAATGGTCACATCGAGGAGAATGGCACCGGTGCCGAAAAGATTATAGATGTATCAGCTGATTAGAATAATAAAATCAGTGGGCATAATGAAGAGAAAGCAGGAGATTCAGAAAAATAAAAACAGAAAAGAATCATTGAGAGAATAGAAAAAACTGTTTCAAAACAACAACAACAACTCAAATATGGTGATGCACTTTATAAAAGATTGAGGACGATTTTTTGATGAAATGTCCAGCATATTTAATTTTTCTTTTTATTTGCTCCATTGATAAATATATATATATTTATGAGTAAGCGGTATGATTTCCTTAAGTTTAAACAAAAAAAAAATCATTCAGTTTTTTTCTTCTTCGTCATGGTTCGATTTGGATTCCTTTTTTTTTTTATCAAATTAAGTTTTTCTTCTTTTATAAATCGAACTAACGTTAAAATTCTAATGTATTTTTTTCTTCTCTGTTTTGTTTCTTTTTCCAACACAAAAACATACACAAAAAATTTAAATATCAAACAAATCTACCAATATTATTCTTCCATATTTGCTAGAATTCATTTAAAAATTGATTTTGACTCATGCAAAAGGAGATAGATGAAAACAACACATACACACACCTACACAAAAATCATCAAACAGAATAATCTAACCGTAATTTAATTTAAATAAAAATAAAATAATCTTTTTTATGGTAAAATTAACTAAAAAAAATCCAAAACAAGATATAAATAAATAAAAAAAAGAAAAAAAAAATTCTTCAATGTAATCAGATGTGTCTATGGATATGGAAAACGAATTTTAAATGCGATAATATTGCGGTCTTCTGTGTAATTTCGGTTGTTTCATGTACTCGAGTTTCATGATGACAACGTTACACACATGAAATTGGATGAATTTAATGAAGAATGCGATCAGAGCGCATATGCTATGTTAAAGCGATTCTTTTAAAGCAAATTTTAAGAATGAACAACCGAGTAGAACGAAAAAGAGTGGAATGCTATATTGACAATGGGCAAAAGTAAATAAACAACAAAAATAGAATAGCAAATAATTATCAAAATAAGTTTAACGAAACCCTTTCTTTATGTCTTCTGAATGTGAAAAAAATTAAAAGAAGAATAAAAAAAACTACATGTTATTTGTATTAACCGTAAAAAAATGATCATTATCAAATATACAAATAATATGAGAAAGAAGTCAATCCATACGAGAATAAATCACAAACACTCACACGCAAATAAAAAAAAAAATCTATGATCTATATGTATATCTATTAATAATGTAATAATTATATCACGAAAAACAAACATCAACAAGATAAGAAAAAAGATAATTCGATCCCCCTCAAAAAAAAAAAAACCATCACGATAATTATACACTCATACACATTATCAATTATTATCGATTTACGTCGAAGACCAAAACCATTCTTAACAATTTCGCATTTTTCATTATCGTTTCTGTCAATTTTATCGAATAAAATTAAATTAATAAAAAAAAAACCAACACAAATGTGAACACTAAATGCATTGTTTTATCCATGAATAAATTTAAGTGTATTGAACAATGTGCGAATGGGATCGCTGAAACAATTGATAAAGTGCTGCTATTCTGCCACAATTGTTCGATGTGTATAAGTTCCCCGTCTATAAGGTATTTTATAGATTTTGGAACAATTATGGGTGTGAATTAGACAAAAAAAGAAAGGAATTATTTATGCTTGCAGTATATGGTTCAGCGACCGATCCGCAATCATAATAAAAATATAATATTATATATTTTCAGGAAGCTTTGTTTTTGCTTGTTTTTCTTCATATTTTTTTAAAAAATAAAACGAACAAAAAAAATATTTGATGATTATAGCTAAAATATTTGATAATTTCTTTCTTTTGGAATTGCATAAGTCCAAAATGAAACAAAAAAAAAGAAAAACAATTTGTTCATTTGCAATCATGCATTCAACCAAATTGAAAATAAATAAAGAAATATTTCGGAGCTAACGAACAAAAATAAAATACGTATAAAAAACAAAGAGAGAAAAGAGTTGAAATAATTGAAGAACGAATGTAAACGAAAATATCATTTTATTTATTACATTCGAATAAACAAGTGCCCGATTTTATTCGAAATCTTAAAATGGAACCAAAACTTTATATAGTTCGGTGTATTTTTTTCGCCTTTAGAAATTGACATTTGTTTTTTGTCATGGAACACATTTTGAAGACGAATCAATAGAAAGAAAAATATATATGTCTTTTTGTTTATTTTAGTCGCTGCTACACCACACCTAATTCGCTAATTGATTGAGAAAAAAAAAATACTTTTTTTTATATACGGTTGATTTTATGCAACGTTTTTCATTTTTAGCAAATGTAAAACCTAACAATTCTAAGCAATTCATCAACATTTAGACAAATCAAATTAATCTATTGTGGCAATAGTGTACAACGTTTTGGAAACGATATCAATTCCATTTTTGGAATCATTTCCATCAATTGCGAAACTCTAACGAGCAAATATAGTAAAAACAAAATGATAAAACACAAACTACTGAATTTATTATGATCACAATTGAGAATAAAATTGATTCGTCGACGATGCATATAGACTTAATCAACACGAAGAAGATAAAAAAATATACTTCTTTTTTCTACGCAAACACAACAACAAAAAAAAAATTATAAATTTATATTTATTACTATAAAATGCTTTGTTACTATAAAATGCTATTGGTATATGATACAATATTGAAACATGAATAAAAATGTAAAAAAAAATCAATTCATTGATGTTTTCTTATTTCTTACGTTTGTTGAAGAACAGCGGCCGGTGATGTTTTTTAATCAACACCATTTTTTTTTTTTGGCTTATCACTTTATATAATGTAGGAAATGTATGCGATGACATTTAACGTAAGTACTGATACAAAGAGAGAATTTCTTTTAAATTATATTTCCGGCTTAGCTGAAAATAATTATCACCGCCCATACTTAATTTCATACTTACAGTTCATAAATGACAGATTATTTTCGAAAAAAACACCCAGTCTATTTCATATCCTGTGAACGTATTTTTGAATTATGAAAAACCCAAATGGATGTTGATTAACATATAAAATTCGTTTTATTTTATTGAATTCGAAATTGCGTTATAAGAAAAATAAATCGTTGTAGCAATTTTTTGCAGTGAAATTGGCATGAAATTACCTAATGTGGTAATATGATTGTGTAGCATTTATTTATATGCTAATAAACGTTGTAAGTGGTTTTACTTTCGTATCCTTTGGTAAGTGCTTTCCCTGTGTCCTGTGTGAAGATCGGTTTTAATTTAAAAGTTTTTTCCTTCCATTTCGAAAAATCAATGTAAATTGATTGGAAGTGTATGTGTGTGTGTGTTTATTTGCAGTCATTAGGAAAAATTGTAAAAAAATGCACTTTCATGTTATTTAAACGTCTGGAATTGAATGATCCATGGAGCCACGAATGAATGACATTGGAATCCTGCGGGAAAAAGTTTTTTTTGAAAAAAAAAAGAAAAAAAAAATTTGATTCAATAAACTTACTTCTTCATCATATGATCGTATATGAACGATGGAATGATGGTGACGGTGATGACTTGTTCTTTGTTGTCAAGAATAATTTCGGTGATGTGTTTGTCTTTCATGCCGACAACATTTTGTCCATTCACTTCAAGCAGCTGATGTTCAATCAACAAACCATTTCGTGCTGCTGACGAATTTTTTACAATCGATACAATTTTGCCGTTATTAAATTGGAAGCCAATGTGTCCAGTCGAATCTTTATGCATTGTAACAGTACGTTCAAATGGACGATCACGAATTACCATTGTAATGTCATTTTTCGGGCACTTCTTGAAGATCTTGAATTACGTATAAAACAAATGTTGTGAAAAATCAATTTTGCCTAATGAAAAACTAAAATTCCTACCTTATGGACTTTGTCCATACTGAAGCCGGCCACATTTTCGCCGTTAATTTGTAAAATTTGATCGCCAAAACGTAGTCTGTAAAATAATCGATTTCAATGTTCAAAAAATGTAATTCAAAATCTATTTTAAGAGAAGGAAAAGAGTTAAAACATACTTAACGAGAGCCGCTGGACTATCCTTGCACACGAGCGTTATGAAAATGCCATTGTTAATGTCTTTGACACGTAAACCAATTTTCTTGTCCGTTCCTTTGCACACAATAACCTCACGAATGCCATGTGTAACTTGGGCGCGTTGCAAACCAACCGTTTGGTGTGACAATGGTGCAATCATTGTACCAGACTGTGCCATTGAACCGATTGGGAGCACAGCATTTTGCATGTATTCTGGCATATTCAATGCAATCTCATCCGAACTCAATTCCAATCCCATAAAATCGGTTAGACCTGGATATAGTTCGGGTGCTGAAGCCATTGGTTGAACATTTTGGGTGCTTGAAATTGGTTTCGGTGCATACAATGACGATTGCAGCCCATGAAATGGTTTTTGTTGTTGTTGTGCAGTCATTTGATTAACAAAGACATTTTGTTGTGCCTGAACCATTTTATGCACTTGCATATCTTCCAACGATGGATATAATGACGACATTTTCACCTTTTGGAATGAAAAAGAGATCGAAAAAAAATTCTTCGATTATGAATCATATGATAAATTTTGATATCCAATTATTAAATAAGCATAAAATTGAACGTGCAACGAAAAACATATCGAAATTGATTTCAATTAACTCGGAGTTTGGTTGCGAGTGAAATTCGTCACTTCAGATAATATATGTATGACATAATTCATGCACAATCAACATTTTTTTTTCATTGCTATTGTTCAGTCGGTCCGACTTGTATACACATAAACTGTTATCGGATTGCCTATTTAAAACATTAGCATTAAACGATATTGCTTATGTATTATCAAAATTTGCTGCCGTTCGTGAGAGAAGGAAATTCTTAAAACACGATATGAATACAAATATTTATTCGACAAACTGTCGACTGTTTAATAAACATGACTTTTATTTAGTTTAAGAATATTCGGCTTGTATGCATTGATTTCAATGAAAATGTTGACGCAAGTGGCATTTTATGAAACCACAGCCTTATGTTTTATTTCATTCATTATCTTTTATCCCCGTTTGCTAAAATTTTTTTGTTCATGTTAAACCCAACGCATAGTCTTCTATAAATAGGCCAACAATCATGTGAATGTGTTAGATGCCAGCCAGTTATGAATCATTTGGGTGAAAATATGATGAAATTCATTTTGTTGGAATAACTGTAGTTAACACTTTGCACTTGCTTTGATATCATTGTTAATCATCCGTTTTACGCGAATTTCTTTTGTACTTAATCGTTCATTAACTATTCGTTGTTCTTCATTCTCATCGTCGTTGTTGGTATGTGCAACCCGAACTATGAGCATTCGTTGTTGCAAATCCAACTTAACCAATAACATGATCAAAATAAATGAGCAAACTAGAATATTTATTTCATAAGATTTGTCAACGTCGTTGTTTGTGCGATTATTTGCTGAATGTGCGTTTTAATCAATCGTAGTTCATTGTAAACGCAGTTTTGTTTGAACGAACTAAATTAACAACAATTATTGATTTTTCACACATGATGATACGTGTTTATGCGTCATTCGGTTTCGTATTGGATTTTTTTTTTCTGTTAACTTTATGACATGAATTCAGTAAATAAAATAGATTATCTTTTGCCATACACTTCAAAATCATATATGATTCATTCGAAATCAAAGTAACCTTTGCAATCAATGTGCAAAACCTAATTTATAAATCAATAATCATTTTTTTTTTATCTAATCACTTTGGGGAAACTTATAAATAATGGTAAAAAAAGAGAGAAAAAAAACAATAAATTCTTACTTGTTCTGTTTCTGTTGGTTTGGATGACAGTCAAGTCTTTATTGAATCGTTTTTGTTCTATTTGGTCCAATTTCTTTGATTTTTGAAATGTTCACCTTTTGGATATTTGGTGTTTGTTGACACTAAAATAGTTGGTGTACACAGTGTATATTGGAATTTGGTATGTTTGTTGCTCGTTGGTGACTACGTCTATACTGAACAGTGAACCGCAACGCAAAATGTGAATGCACCGTCTCTCATCACAACACAGTTGAGACATTAATATGCGTGACATACACTCTTACTCTCACAGTCAACATACAGTGGCAAAAAATTTCCTGGAAAACGGAATATGTGTACAAGTATTATATCATCGTTGTGGTAGTTATCGAGTGGCTATCATAAGGAGTCGCATGGTTGTGTGTGAGTTACTGACTTCTGTACAAATTCATACAATACATACATAAAACGACGCCATGGCCCTAGATCATATGAAACATTCCATCGCAGTTAAAGCGTATACATAAAAATATTAGAGGTCAGAGAAACTGAATGTATGGATAACTGATGATAACGGTCAATTTGCACAAAGTTCAAACGACACTCTTTTTTGTCCAACAAATTTCACAATACTTCATTTGAAATTTAGAGAACCTTGCTCATGTAAATTTTACCGGATGATGTTTGTTGTAGAATTTGCGATTATCAAGAATAATTAAAAACAAAAAAAGAAATATTTTTGACACACTCGTCATGGCAAGGGTTTCATTTCGATCATTTTTTTGTACTGTATTTATGAGCTGTTTCCGCTTGATTTTTGAAATTTCGTCGATGAATGGTATTTAATTGATTGTGGTCTTGGCATCACTGTGTCGTACATATTTTTGTATTTTGGCCTGGCCAAATGATTTTTTCGAATGAGCCACTGTTGAAATGCCAATTCATTCAAATGTTCAATTTGCTGTTTTGCTCGTTGTATTTCGCGTTCACGTCGTGCACGTTTTTCTAAATATTTTTGGCGATTCATTTCCCGCATTTCCAATTGATCCTTGCTTAGTCCATACTGTGAAATGTATCCATTGTATCGTGGCAATCGATTATTATCTAAATACTTATTTTCACAACATGCTCTCACATTCAAATGAATCTTCAGCAGATCATCATGATTACTATTGTTTTTATTCACCACATTTCGTTGCATATTTGCCGATACAATTCGTTTTGATGGTGTGTTTGACGATCTTTTCATGCCAGCACTTTTTATATTATTTCGTGCTGATGTGCTTTTATTATTACACGCTCTACATGGTGGATTATCGTTTGCATTCATTTCACCTAGTATCGGTGGTCTTTTCTTCTCTTCAGTCTCAATATTATTTTGTACACGTAAATTTGCATTATCGCTGTCTGATTTGATGATTGGCACTGGTGATGGTGTTTTTTCGAATTCACTGATTTTCATTTCGTTCACAATGGTTTCGTTTATTTCCTCAACAACTTCTAATTCGGTGGCATAATCATTATCAACCGATAAGCTATCTTCATCGTTTGAATAGATTTCTTCGATGGAGATTCGTTTCAATAGTCCATCGATTTGATCATTGTCAATGGGTTCAATTGTTATCGATGGTTGACGTTCACCACGTTCGATAATTTCCGCAATTTCTTTTTCAATCGCTTCGTCATCGTCATCCTTGTACTGAATTTCAGCACTTTCGGCTTCACTCATTTCATCCTCATACTCTTCAATATCAGATGAAAATGTGACACGATGTTTTGATTGTAGCAAATTTTTATCGATTTTGTTTGTTGTTATTGTTTCTGTTTCAAATATCTCCATTGCGTTATTTTCGGTTATCGATGCAAAAAGCTGATTATTTGCCAATTGAATTTTATCCACGATATTATACTCGTTGACTGGAGTCAAAACTGTGTGTATATGCATGAAAATTGAGATTACCACATTGTATGCGGTTTAACGTTCGTTTCTTCTTCTTTTTTCGTTCTTGTTAAGGTTTTAAGGTCAATACTTACAATAGCTCTCCGTATCGCTTTCGGCATCATTATCGCTCATTCTACCTGCACAAAACTTTTGCACAACGTTTAATTCGATTTAATTGCAAACAAATACGAACAGAGAGGTGGCAAGAGACAAGAGAGCAAAATAGTTTGTTTACAAGTTCATACAATTCGTGCAATAATCGAATTGAAAGTTTGATCGATAATTCTAATCAGAATCATAATACAATTTCATTTTATCCATGTGCATTGGTTGAAAATCGTTAAAAGCGAACGGAAACGGAATCCAAGAATTTAACTCCAAAAGCGGATATATAGAGAAATAGAGACAGTTTCAATAACAATAATAAAATGTTGCGTTTATAGTTAAACGCAATTCATTTATTTCTCAACCGACAAATTCATGTTCGAATTTTCGGCTTAATTTCGCAACACAGTTTCGAACAAGAGAATACTCGCCACGCGCGCGACACACGCACACACAAACATATTCGAAATGTCAAAATCGCTTCGTTTAACGAATGAAGTTCATTGTTTTCTATTTCTCTCCCTCTTCTTTCCTTCAAACATACATCACACACATTGACTTTTCAGTTGTTTTCGTTCTTCATTTCTTTTCAGTTTTTTTTTTTTGTTTTTGTTGTATGTTTTTCGTTCAGTTTTATTCCATTTGATTTTGTTGCCCATATAAAAAGATTATTATTCGCAATTTTTTTTTGTATTTTTCTGTTCAAAATAGGGTCATTTCGTTTAATATACAAATAGTTTCATTAATTTGTGCTGTGGATGGTTGTGCAGTGCATACCAAATAATAATAATAATACAAAAAAAAATAGTGTGTAGTATTTGATCTCGTTATTATTGTTGTTGTTATATCGAGTGCATATTGTTGCTCACTGCATACGCATTCGTGTGTAGAATCGTACTGTACACCAAGAATTATGAATGCTAAATTGCTCATTGTCGCGTAACACAAAACAATTTTTTTTTTTGGTTTTGTATTGCCATACATACTTTTAATTCGGAATTAAATTCAGTACGATTCACGCATATTGTAATAGTACAAAATGTGGTGAACATCATACAGACAGAATATAATAGCGCAAATAATCAACAAAAGATATTTTATAGTATAGACATCGTCGTCGTCATCAACATACGGAACTAAATCAACCAACTAAATACACTTTGATGCAAAACGAATGTTCGCACCAAAACTAAGAAAGTGATTCGTGAAATAAAAACGAAGAATAAACTTTTATTAGCACGCTATTCTCTTTTTTTTGCTCCAAGAGAGTACACTCGTCAACCAAAACGATCGTATTGGCTTTTGCTACGGAGAAAGACAGGGCATAAGATCAGTTAATATTTAAGAGACGACGATTGATTGTATCAATGGGCGTTGTGAATAGTGATTCTAATGCGAATTATTAAATCGCAGTATTTTTGTGTCTGTGCCAATGCCTTTGGATTTGTTGTTGTTGTGCATATTGACTGCTTAAACAATTTTCGATTGATAGTTTTGGTTGTTGTTGTTGTTGTTGTTGCATTAATTAAATTTTAGCATACGCGCGTGCTACCATACGCCGAGAACGTGAGAAATGTCACAACGAGCATTAAAAAAGAGAGAACTTAGTTTACAGAAGCAGGAGAAGGAAACGCACCAAATATATCGTAAGCAAGCACAACAACAAAATAGCACATTGATCACAGCACAAAAACCAAAATATACACAACGAACCCATTCGAATAGTAGTGTACTTAGTAAAAATTCAACAGTGATTAAATCAAACCAAATTTCTGATAAAACCAATATCGGTGTGAGTAAACAAAAATTTTACTCAACACCAAATTTGGCATCGATATCAATTGACTCAGACTCAGCACATTTTAATCAAGTTCATCGGTCACATTCGGAATCAGATTTATCTTGGATGCCCGAAGCAAATGCATTGGTAAATGCAAAATCGGAATTTCATTTGAAATCAATAGCCAGTACACAAGTACCAAGTTTTCAATCACTTACGACCAGTACACCAAATCATCATTTTAATTCGTTAAAAAATACAAACGTTAAACAACAACAGCAACAACAAATGGAGAGCCCATCGAATTTCCATTCCAAACGATTTTCCATACAGAGTGGATTGAGCGGACAGACGGCCAGCAGCATGACCTCTAGTGCATCAACGGATTCAACACAACCGCCAACCGTTGGTTTCTGTGATCCAGACAATGTTCGCATCCCAATTGTGGGATATGAAGTAATGGAGGAACGTGCGAGATTCACGGTAATCGCTTATCTATCGATTTATCATCTCATTGACATAATTTAGATAATTAACGGTGATGTTCTTCTTCTTAATTCATAGGTCTTCAAACTTCGAATCGAAAATCCATTTACGAATGATTGCTGGCTAGTATTACGACGATACACCGATTTTCAGAGGCTAAACAATAAGCTTAAATCGATATTTCCACATTTGCCAGCGCTTACATTGCCACGGAAAAAATTGTTCGGTGATAATTTCAGTAGTTTATTCTTGAGTAATCGTGTGCAGGGACTACAATTATTTATTAATGCAGTAATGGTCAATGAAACATACCGAAATTCACAACCGGTACGAGATTTTTTCTGTTTAGACGAACCACCTACTTATTCGGAAAGTATTGAAGAGTGTCGAGCCATTTTTGAGGCACAAGAAGAGGTAATTATCTTTTTTCGTTTTGATTTTTATACTTTTTCTGAATGACTCAAACAATTGTTAATTTAACCGACAATTTCTCTTTACAGACAATCAATCATTTAAAGTTGCAACTGAGAGCCAAAGACGAAATTATATTGTCGATGCAACAACAATTAAATAATGAAATTGAAAAGAATCGAGCGCTATCCACTGCAATCAAGTAAGGAAGAGGAAAACACATTCTCCTCGAAACATAACATTTTCAAAGAAATGACACATAGTAAAGAATGCAAACAAAAAAAAATCTCCAAATAACATTTAATAACAAAAAAAAATTGAATGTTTTTTTCTTGCAGTTTTTCATACGAAAATTGTGACAATTGCTCAAAAAAGTTTGACGAACTCATGAAATGCCAAACGACGGTCAGTAAAAATGAATAGTAGTATAAATGTTGCAACGCACATCATCAATTCGACATGAAATTCGGCCGATCGAAGATTTCTTCTTTCTTTGGCTGCAGGCTTACAACTTCCATTGGATTTCATACCTCATTTAAAAATTTAGATAAAATTCAGATATTTATACAGCGATGGGAACACATACATCCATTTTTTAGAAAAAAAATATTACAGTTACAGAGTTTTTGGAATAATGGTGTAAATAAAAAGTGTCTTATACTTACGTATGTATACATTGAGCTCAAGTATTGAGAAGAAAAATGAATTTGTAGTAAGTTACCCCAAATACGACTTACCACGAGGAAAACTTACCACAATATGTGAAATAGATAGATATATATAAATACAAGTGTCCTTCCAATTGCTTATAAGCATAAATGCGCTCAGAATCATGTGAAATGATATTGATAATTTTGAAAATTTCACAACTACTATTATTATACTCAAGCTTTATTACAAAGAATATTGCCTTTTCGAACATTTTGCAAATGAAGATATTTTTTAAGGAAGAAAAGAATATTGTTTATAAATTGTATTATTCAGAAGAAATTTCTTTTTTTTTTATTTATATATCTCAAATGAAATTATGGAGACTTTATGTTTTTACTAAAGAGAATAGAATTTAAATAAATTTATTTAAACCAGAAAAATCCATTCCGTTCATTTTTTTTTTGTATACGCATTAAAAAATTGGAAATTCATTCAAACATATGAAAATGTTTCTTATATCTCAATTTTATACATATCTTAAAAATTGTTTCGCTCTGTCGAACGTGATAGTTTCTCTTATTTCCTTTGAAACTTGTCGACCTTTGATTTGAACAGAAATCGAGCCGACAGACTTCGTCGACAATAGGAAACCGCATCACAATGAACATTTATCTATTATAATTGTAATAACAAGACATTCTCATTGTTTGAATCGGATATCTTACCATGTACAATCGTACATACCATTACATTCACAAAAGAAAAAAAATGTTTTCAAATACATGACATGCAGCTGATTCGAAAATGATTTTTCGAATTCGAATTCGCTTGACAGTAGACGTCGTTGTTGCCGTTGTTCTTTCTATTGTCACTGCTTGAATCCAGTTTTTACGTCAAAACTGAGTTCGTAACAATAACAAAGTGTATTTATTTTTAAAAAAATGCCTTTTGTGGCCAATGTAAAACAGCAACGGCATATTCTCAAAAAAATATGGCATCATTTTAATCATTCACAGCTAGTCAAGTGTCGATTTTTCACCACCGCACCCAGCATATTTTCTTTACAGAATTGCAATTTATTACATCATCGACGCGTCTCATCAAAAACACAATTTGCCGAATGCACTCAAAATAAAAGCCAACTATTTGTTTTCCATCACGAATGGCCGGATGACGTTCGAATGGAATTGTTACAAGACATGATTGTTATTGAAAATTTTGTAACGGAACGAGAAGAACAGCAATTATGTGCCGAAGCGGAAAAAAGTATGAAGAGAATGCGATATCAATATGATCATTGGGATAATGCAATTCAGGGATATCGAGAGAGAGAAAAACTTGATTGGTCAGAAGAGAATGCGAACGTTATCGAACGTTTGAGAAATAAAGCATTCACTGAAAATGTTATACCACAAGTGCATATCATCGATTTGGCTGCCGATGGAATAATTAAGCCACATGTAGATAGTTCACGATATTGTGGCAATACGATTTCTGGACTTAGTTTACTCACCGATTGTATTATGCGATTGAAACGAGTTGATGAAAATGAGTACAAACAAAATACATTAGATGAAGATAAATATGGTAGCGATGAAACAACACAAAATGCAAATCAAAAAGAGAAACGTGAATTTAATTACTTTGCAGATATTTTACTTAGAAGACGATCATTGTATATTATGAAAGATTCAGCACGTTATAAATTTTCCCATGAAGTTTTACCTACAAAATCCAAATTCCTCGAAAACGAAATTGTTAAAGACCGTAGGATTTCAATTATTTGCAGAAATCACACTTAATTTATTTTCATTTTTAAAAATTATTTTGAAATATAATTAGGATTATCCCTTTAGCCATTGTTGTAACATTTTTTTATGATCCTTTTTATTACCTGAAATATCAATTCAATAAATGTTTATTAGATACAAACTTCACCAAACTAATGAAAGGTATCTTTTAAATTATTTTAGACCTGCAAACATAATGAGTGCAAAATTGTAAAAAAAAATGAAAATTTATGCGAAAATAAATGTATTTGTTGATTTTATTAATTTGAACATTTTTTATGAATTTTATTCAAAATAACCCGCAAACACAAAAAAAGTTCATCATAATCAACCGTCTCCACTTAGTTGCTGAAATCGCCATTTTGAAAATCTTTCGAAGATTCGCTGTGGTGTCAAAATACACAATCATTTTTTCACTTGTCAATATTTAGGCTCCATAAAAATCGACGGTTCATTACAAATGTTTTATTTTCTTTCTCCAATTGTTATCTGTTCTATGGAAATCATTTTATACTCATAAGATATTTTATGTTTTTCAATCGTTGTCAAAAAATTGGCTGAAAATCTGCTTATTTGACAACAAAACGGAGATAAATAATGACAAGCAAAGGTGGCCGTGAAAGTTGCAACGAACCAATAGATACATCGTCATCACTGACAAACTATAATTCATCAAATCAAAACCATTCATCAAGAGCAATGACATCGATGCCATCGACAACCAGCCCGCCACCGGTATCATCACAGCGATCCACCGGGCAAACTAGTACCACCAGTGAAACGACTTCAAGTAGCCAAACAATGCTTGCAAACTACAAATATATAGAAAGTTACGATTTCCCGTACTGTGATGAATCGACCAAATATGAAAAAGTGGCCAAAATCGGCCAGGGCACGTTTGGTGAAGTGTTCAAAGCACGCGAAAAACGATGCCACAAAAAATTTGTCGCTATGAAAAAAGTTCTTATGGACAATGAGAAAGAAGGTGTAAGTACAGTTACACCAATTTTACCCAATAATAAATTATTTTGATTTTTTTTATTTGTTTGTTTGTTGTTGTTTTTTTCTCACAGTTTCCGATTACAGCGTTGCGTGAAATTCGAATTTTACAGCTGTTGAAACACGAAAATGTAGTGAATTTAATCGAAATTTGTCGCACAAAAGCAACAGCCAACAATCGATATCGGTCCACGTTTTATTTGGTATTCGATTTTTGTGAGCATGATTTGGCCGGTCTGCTGTCAAACATTAATGTTAAATTTAGTTTAGGCGAAATTAAAAAAGTTATGCAGCAATTGCTTAACGGTTTATATTACATTCATAGCAACAAAGTGAGTAGAAGTGGTTTTTTGTCTATACGCCGGACATTGTATGTAAATTTTCCAATTTTTTTTTCACAGATTTTGCATAGGGACATGAAGGCAGCTAATGTTTTGATTACGAAAAATGGTGTATTGAAATTGGCCGATTTTGGATTGGCTCGAGCATTTAGCGCATGTAAAAAAGACCAACCTAATAGATATACAAATCGTGTGGTTACTCTATGGTACCGACCACCAGGTAGGTTTTATAAAATATTGGAGTTCACATTTTCAATGCTATTCGTTGCGTTTTAATGAATGATTTTGTTTTTGATTTGTTTAATGTTTTCAAATGCAGAGCTACTTCTTGGCGATCGAAACTATGGGCCGCCAGTTGATATGTGGGGAGCGGGTTGTATTATGGCAGAAATGTGGACCCGTTCGCCAATTATGCAAGGTAGAAATGAACAACAACAGATTGTTCTCATTTCACAACTTTGCGGTTCCTTCACGCCAGAGGTGAGATTTTATTGCTGTCAATTTGCTATTCAACGATTCATTTAAACTCATGCAACTGATGACAATTTTTCAGGTTTGGCCGGGAGTTCAACATTTGGAATATTTTACTAAAATTGATTTGCCACAAAATCACAAACGAAAAGTAAAGGATCGACTGAAGGCATATGTTAAAGATCCGCTTGGATGTGATTTACTTGATAAATTGTTGCAGTTGGATCCAAAGGCGCGTTATGATGCCGATGCCGCACTTAATCATGACTTCTTTTGGACCGATCCGATGCCATGCGATCTTGGTAAAATGTTATCGCATCATTTACAATCGATGTTTGAATTTTTAACGCCACAAAGACGACCAGGTCAAAGACCGTATCAACAAATGAACTCCAATCAAATGCCAAATCGATCACAAGATAATAGCTACGTAGACCGCGTTTATTGAATTTTTTTTTAGAGAATATAATGAACCGAAATCAATTGTAAGATATTTAGGATGAAACGAATTCGATTGTGAACTATTGTGTATTACATAAAACCCAATCCATTCTGGATAAGCGTAAACATTATTAAATTTTCAAAAAATCTCATGAACATACCCATGAAATAAACGATTTTGGTAAAAATTGTACATTCCATTTGATTTACAAATAAACACGAATTAAAAAAAATACACAAAAATTGTAAGAGAATATTTAGTTGTAGGGAGGATTTTTATTGATAATATATATCTATCTATTTGTTTCAAAACGATATTGTGATTCATTATTGTGTTCATTATTCAACTGATACAGAAAGATCTGTTTCAATTTCGGTAAAAAAAATAAAGATTTTAAAATTGCGGTTTAAAAGAGTGTATTTTTCTTCTCTATCCCAAGGAACAATTGTTGGCACAAATTCATCCATTATCGGGCATATGTTGCCGGTCAATATTGGGGTTGGATGTGTGTGTAGTTTCAGTCAATTTTACCGTCAAAATGGAAAGGAAAAAAAAGAAAAAAACAATTCAGTTAGATTGAATGCAAAACTAAACTATCAATTCAATAAAGTACTCACCTACGGGTTCTTTTATATTCCGCACAGCCCTAAATAGGGACCCGTACTGCGGTCAAGGGTACAATAGAAATCCTTGGATTTAAACTATTCACGCCTAGTAACTAACAAAATTGTTAAAATATTCTTCTTATGATTATTGTTGATTTTATGCTGCTATCAGTTGACATTGTTCGCATGGTGTGGATTGTCAGGTCTCTTCAACGAATCGGGCAATGGTATGCCAAAAAGACGACACATTCCTATAAAATCAGAAACAAACACAAAACATTAATCAATTAATATGAACACTGAACACCAAACGCTCTGCTCTCTATTCTCAATTTAATATTAATACAATATACAATTATGCACATACCTTTGAATAAAATATTCTTTGCGGCAACAATGTCACGGTGCCAAATGACTACGTGCTCAATCATGTTTTCTGGTTCAGCATCACCCAATTCATGGTATTCTCGAGTTAATGACCAAGTTTTGAAGATAACTTTTATCTTTGGCACTAAACGCTCGATGTTCTCACGATCTGGATTGATTGCTCTCTCTACAATTCGCTCTTTTTTAAGCTCTTGTCTGCTCAAATTCGTCACAATTATCGGTGGTAGTCCAACAATCGGTTTTGGTATGCAATTTCGACAAATTTTGAATCGATGATTTTTGGTTTCTCTTGGAAATCGCTCGTGACAATTGGCACACGTTATTGATGTACCCCATTCATCTTGAAAACTGACCTTTGTGTGCTCTTGTTTCTTGAAGCTGGTCGCCAATTTACGCGTTCCTGGGCATCTTTTCCGCTTCTTTATGCCCCATGGCCGATTTGGTGCCATTTCTCCAGCACCAATCCAAATCCAAGACGGTTTGTTGTTCGTTACCCGCATGGCAACTTTATCACTTGTTTTGGTAGCCTTGATGTGGTGATCGAGATCCAATCGTGCATATTTTCGAGTCGCATATGCTTGCATTCCCATTCGTAGCATTTTGATGCGATGCAGAATGTACGCTTTCCATGTGGATCCACGCGGCGATGGTATCACTGGGTACGACTTGAAATCCATTTGTTCTTCTTCAACAAACCACCAGGTCAACCGATCAGCCTTCCGATCTCTCTTCTTCTGCTCGGTTTGCCAATGAAATCGTGGATTGGATATTTTAATGTTTTCCTGTTAAATAATAACGTCAAATTTCAATCACGTTCCAAAAAAAAAAACATTGTAATAACAAACTTAACTTACCTCAATGTTTGACTTGATATGGCGGCGCACAACGGCCACCCACGTTTTCTCGTTCGGATCGATGGCACTAGCATATGTCATGTTGTTAAATGTGGCCTGCTCCGAATTTTCCACCCAAGCCTTCGCTGGCTTCTCGTACAATATTGACACGCAAACACTATTGGTGATGATTTGCGAGTGAAACCGCTTCTGCTTGCCGATTTGTTTGATTTTATCCATGTCGAAAACCAAATTCCACAATTCATCTCGATGGCCGTACAAGTAATAGTCCAGTGTGTATTTGTTCATTCGATTGGTCAGCGGATTGCGAGAACTTGGCACCACTCCTAGTACAGTGTTCGCCAAATAATACATATCTGTCATATCCAATCGAACGTTTTTCAGTTGGAATCGGCATAACGGGACAAGTGCGAAATTGTTCACTTTTGGCGGTCGATTGTTCGTTATCAATCCATCGCGACGGAATGCATGCCATTGTTGTGAATATTGATGAAACACTTCGATTTGGCGTTGCATTTGACCGAACATCCACAGTGATTGGAACCAATTGTCCTTAACGAACTCATTGACAGTGACCGGAACCAATTGTTCATTATGAACTTTTTGACACTGCCAACCGATTCTTTCCAGTTCATACAATAAAATGTTCATCTTATTTGTTCTCTCTACATCACCATGTGTCAGATCTTTGTTACTAGTGGCGTAAACTTTTGCGTTTCGTATATCGATGCCGTCAAATTTTGATCCATTGTATTGATGGCCATTGATATTCATGTTATAATACCAGCGTTTCATTTGAAAAAACGATTCAACATGTTCTGAACAATGAGTGTTGAGATTGGTCTGATTATTTCGAATGTGATCTTGGTAGAAATAATTAAAACCATTTCCCAGGCATTCTTTATCGGGCCATTCAAAATTCTCTACACCGAAGTGTGCCTCGACAATGTTACGAAAAGCTGGCGGCATTAGTTCCTCTCTGTCGACTTTATCGGCTAAAACACCGTTAAAGCACTCAATGAAAAATGTTTTACCGTTTTGTACAAAAAATTGTTGGTTCCCATCATCGATGGCTTCTTGAATTTTGTACAACGCCAACAATGATGCCAGTGACGAAATCAGTGTCATTTTGTAGCTTCGATGATCCAAAAACTGAATCACTCTGTCGCGATATTCTTCCCGTATGATTGACTTGACGCCTTGTTTTATGACTACAAGGTTCTTAATGTCGTCTTTCCTTTCGGGTGGACTGTATAAATGAAACGAAAACAAAGAAAAACATACACACTTATTTAAAAAAAACTGGTCACAAAACAATATCGCGAAATTGCATCGAAAATCCAATGAAAAAAAAACACAGAATAAATATTAAGAAAAACAATGCTTACATATTAAATTGATCCTCTCTTGATCTTGTTCTACTCATGGTTTAATCAATCAATCACAATTTCTGGTGCTTTTCCAAATGTTATGGGATTGTTATCACTATTTTCGGTTGCAATCAATTCACATCAATTTCACAATTCAAATTGTAATTTTTAATGTGTTTTTGTTGGTTCTGCTTGTAAACTACCTGACGAAATTCAATTATTATTATCAATTTAAAGTTATTTTTCTGACTTGATGATGAGATTTAATGGTATTTCAAATAGCTTCACAGCGCGAACGGTAACTTTGAACTAAAATGAATGCAGAAATGCATCGCTATTTATAGCAAATTATTGCTGTATTGCAAAAAGTCAAGCCTCGAAAACTAAAATGACTGGAATTAAACGATTCTATTGATACATCAATATATGCAACCAAATTTACAATATTTTCATTCAACAACTCAATCACTCCACTTTGATTTGCCACAAAACTCTGCCGAAAATGCATTTTTAAACAGGAACATAACAAATCACAAACGAGAGAATTGTCGAAATGGTTTTTTTTTCAAATGTGTTTCGATGATTTGGAATATTAACAGTAATACTTTATAAATGTTCTGTCGTTTGAATTGAAAACAGAAACAGACACAAAATATTTCCGCAAATATATCCATCACATTTCGTGAACACACGATATCGTTGTATCAAAACACTGACGAAGCACATCACAAAAACAAGCGGTGATCGGGAATACTGTTGTACGGTCAAAATTCTACAGTTTGTTGCATTCGCACTAGTATTTCGTTTACAGAAAAACAAAAACACAAACACATATTATATTGTCTCTCTCACATGTTTCGTTTCTTTGTGCTGTGACATAAAAAAGCCACTGATACAATATTAGCACTAAAATCCATTTGTCTTATTTTATCATGTTGAAAACTGAAATCGGTTGTCATTTTGAATTTAATTTGTTTGAAAAAAAACAACAACAACGCACATTTTCTGACCGCTAATAAGAACAAAGAAACTCGTGCGTATGAATATCATGGATATACTCTACATTCCGTTTGACACTAAAATGGCCACATAATTATCCTTGTGAATGTGTGACTCTCTCTGTTGTGCATTTGTGTGTGTACAAACTTTCAATTGTTTATATGCGCGACCGGTTCAATATTGCATGTTTCAAACCGAAACACCGAATGAATTTGTTTATATCACTTTCCCTCACACACACACACAAACTCTGTATTCGTAGCGATATTTGACTTTTTGAATTTGTCCAACTGAATTTTAGGCGACGGAGAATGCAATCGTATGAGATTGTTGTTGTTGTTGTATACCAAAAATCATCTCTTTCTAAACTGGCGGCACTTCTCAGTATAGTTTTGGCCGCAATAAAAAAATCAATCCCGTTAAATATTGAATAGAGTGATTTGTTTGTTTGTGATACATGTTAAATCGAAGCACAAAAAATTCCTTTGCTACATTAATTCTGTTGAAAACTGAAAAATGTGAATACAAACTTTGTGTGTACTCCAGTTGAAAAGAAAACAAATCTGAATGGCAACTCATTATATTTCGTTGTGATTTTGTGTATTGAAACATTTTTGTCAATACACTGTAATTTTGTCGATGTGTGATGTTCAATATTCAACTGATCCTTGCCTTCTTAATGATGCTGGACATATTTATGAATATAAGTGATACAAAATGCAATCAAACAGCGAAAACAGTCGATAGAATTGTTGATATAAATTTTATGTAAACAAAATCGAACATTTGAATTTCATGTTACACATACTTTCATTCTTTAAACGAGTAAGAGTCAGCAAAACGCGCATTGTATCAATACCGTTGTATGCTTTGAGATTCCAACAAAAACGGCAACACATTTGAGTGAGTTTGAATGAGACTGAAAGACTAATAGGAGAAATAAATTGTAAAATGTTAACGTAATAAATGAACAATTTTATTGGAAACTATGCATATAATCAACTTTCCATTGACACGAAAATTACCACCGAAATGGGTGAAAACGTTACATTTTTCAACGTTAAAATAGATAAAAAACGTTACATTTTTGTTTGCTGGGTAACATTCATTGTGTTTATTTTGTTCGAATGCTGGAGCATATAAAATCTTGGATGCATTTCCAATAACAGGGAGGTCGCATTTTTTAATTAGTACTTCATTAATGGAGGGTCTAGCTGAAGCAGGTCATGATCTGACATTGATTGCTCCATTTCGTGCAAAAAACTCCTACAAAAACTATAAGCAAGTGATATTTGATTCATCCATTATAGAATTCCGAAAAGATAGTCTCAACAAATGTTTAATTTGATTATGTCTTAAGTACATCACATAAATATTTTCCAGATACTGAAAAAAATAATTTCATGGAATATAATAATCTATATTTTTGGGATTCAATAGTTATGTGGTATGATATCTACATAAAGTACACAAGTCATACGATGTTTGATACAAATTTTCAAATTATTTTATAACTGGAACAAGATTTTGATGTGATTATAATTGAACCATGTCTACAAGAGGCTTTCTATGGACTCAGTCAATACCATGGACTCAGTCAAAGCACCGCTGATTTTATTATCTGCAGTTGATCCAGCAAAGTGGATAACAGATTTAGATGGAACACCGAGTTTCGCATCATATTTTCCCCATGTATTCAATCCGTATTCAGATCACATGACATTCTCGCAACGAATGCAGAATTCATTAACATTTTGGTTGGAAGATATTGCAAGAATAATTTACTACAATAGAATGCAAGAGAAATTGATCCAACAAGCATTCCCGAATACTGAAAATTGGCCATCAATAAGAGACGATAAGACAAAATGTTTCGTTGATTTTGTTAAATTCCCATGTAACTTATAGCACAGCTCGACCATATGGACCGAATGTAATTGAAGTGGACGGAATGCATATCAAGAAAACATCCGATCCATTGATATCAAATATCCGAACGTTTTTAGATGAAGCACATAATGGTGCGTGAGTTGTATCTTTTCAGAGGCAGCAATTTTCGGAAAACCGGTATATTTGGAGTACCATGTATTGCCGATCAGCCTTTAAAAAAATAGTAAACTGAATATTGAAGAAAAAAAAATTGCATGGTGTAAACGAATTTCGCTATTATGTTGCTGAAAATATAAAAAATCAGGTGACCAAATTCACTTTAGCCTATTGTAAAAAATGTATTACTGTACAATGAAAATTCTATCGATTAGCTGCTGGTTTTTTATCTTATCTAATTCATATTTTAGATGTTTCTACTTCTCTTGTTATCAAACGATTATGAACATCATACCACTTCCAAAAGTATTTTAATAAATTTAATCATCAAAAATTCAAGTTACGTTGATCTGTGTTGCTGTTTAGTTCCTTCAAATAATAGTATTATTTTCTTTATAATTTCAAAAACATAATAAAAATTCTAACAATTTCACATCAAACCAAGAAAAATGAATGTGATATCGAGAGATAAGTGTATCATATTTATATTGATACTTGAAATTCTGAGCATAAATGCGTTGCCATCATCATCCAAAGCGTTGAATATAGCAGTTATTGGAGCCGGAGCAGCAGGCCTTGCGAGTGCAAAAAATGCTCTGGAACAAGGACACAATGTAGTGATCTACGAAAAGACCAAAGCCCTAGGTGGAATATGGTGGTATACAGATGAAACCGGAAAAGACGAGTACGGTATTAACATTCACACTGCAATGTATCAAGGACTGAGGTATATTTGAACATTTCTATATGAATTCAATGCTAAAAATATTGATTGTTAGTTATGTTTAAACAGAACAAATTTACCATACCAAACAATGGAATATCCAGGACATAAATATCCAAATAACACGCGATCATTTCCACCACATGAGGTGGTATTGAAATATCTCAACTCTTATGCGGAACGTTTTGATTTGAAGAGACTTATAAAATTCCATCATATCGTTGACAAAATTCATTCACTTCAAAATGACCGATGGATGATAGTTGTTAAAGATTTGCCTAACAATAAGACCGTATCGGCGATTTATGATGCGGTTTTCGTTTGCATTAATAGGTTTTCTTCACCAAATTATCCGCAATTTGAAGGCGCCGATTTTTTCAAAGGCAAAATTATGCACAGCCATGATTACCGTAGAGCTGAAGATTTTCGGGGTTTGTAATACACACAATTGTGTTTTTTTTCTGTTTATTAATAGTCATCAAATACTATTCGATGAATAGATGAAAATGTTTTAGTCATTGGAAGTGGTAATAGTGGAATGGATATTGTACTGCAACTTTCAAAGACTGCCAATCGAGTAACTTGGAGTAGACGTAAGCCCAAAGAACCAACAGAAGAAGAACGAAGGGTATATGGAGATACAGTTACATTTAAAAACGATGTGGAACGTTTAATATCAAATGGAGTTGAGTTTATGGATGGCACACATCAAAATTTTACAGTGATTATATGCGCAACAGGTAACTTGATGCAATGCAACAGCGCTGACGATGGTATTACCATTGTATATGTCCTTTTTATTTGACAGGTTACAGATTTACGTATCCGATGTTGGACGTTGACACAGGCATTCAAATTGATGACAATTTCGTGCAACCTCTCTATAAGCAAACTCTGAACATAAATCATCCGACAATGGCTTTCATTGGTATGACTGGGACGAACTTTATATTCGATTTACAGGTTGGGTTTTTTTGCTCTAAAATTGTTTCACTATAACTATTTGAAAAAAAAAATCGTAAAAATGGTATTTACAGGTACGTTTTGCTCTGAAATTCATCTCTGGAACAAAGAAACTACCATCAAAGTCAGAAATGTTGAAAGATTTGCAAGATTTTGTTGAAGATCGACAGAAGAAGGGCATTCCAAAAAGTAGATATTATCATATAGGTCTACTAGATAAGGAATACTATGAGAAAGTTGCCCAGACAGCAGATATTACCAAAATTCCGGATGTTTACCTGGCCATATGTAAAGATTTATTTCAAAGTGATCCATTTAGATATCGTGAATATAAATACACAATAATTGATGATAAAACATTTAAAAAAGAAAGAGAAGTGTGATACGATTCATGGAAGATTAGACCAAATTCAAAAATAGATGAAAATTGCGAACGGTGCAATCAAAGTTCTTAGTTTTTAGTGTGATAAATTTTTTAATGACGGAAACTCTTATCAATATTGATTGTGTGCGCTAATCTAATTTAAAAAAAGAACTCTTGAATTGTGTGATATTGTTGTATTAATTATAAAAGCAATAGATAATTCAAGATAATTAGATTTAAAAAAATGCAATGATCAGCAGATGGCAACGTGATAAACAAACATTTTCGCAAAAAAAAATTCGGAATATCCCAAACAAAATATATGTGAAACCCGTTTACTTGCTCGAATATGCGTTGAATTCATCTTTTAATAATATTATTAAGGTTTTTTTTTGTTCATGCAGAATATCATCATTCTAATGACCTAACTCATGTATGAATTCTTAAGAAATACTTCTTATAGAAAATGTGTGTTTTAACATGCGCAATATTTGAGTAGTGTAATTATAATTTTCCATATCAATAGAAATATCGAAAGTATGTGATATCGTTTCAGGTAATATTTTGATGAAGTTGCTTCTGAAACCGAACGCTTTAAAAATTTAAGAAACTAAAAAGTGTGTAGTTGAATCAAGGGGCTTATGACATATGTGAATCGCAAGAGTCTCATGTAAATTATCTGAGTCTGTATGTGATTTTCGAGTCGGTAGCTTCATGGAACGCAGAAACAATAAAACGCAGGAAACCAAAAATGCAGAAAAAACGCATTAAAATGTTTTTCTGTGTATTTTTTTTAGTTTTTCTGTGTATTGTGTGAATTAAAACGAATATACATTTATATATTTGGAACGTTGATTACATTTAAAGTAAAATAAAGAGTCTTACACAAATTGTGTTTAATAAAAAAATTAGAATTTTGCTTGCTTAGCCATGGGATCAATCAATTTTACAACATCAATATTTTCTATAAAAATGATAGAAAAAACCTACATATTTCCTCAAATAAAACAATTTTCAAAATATGTTTAAATTTTTATTCATATTTTTTCAATTTTTGTATAATATATACAATATAATTTTTTGAGTTCCATCCCTCATGTCATACGATTTACGATAAATACTCGAATTGGCATCATATACAAAAATGATATATGAATGTTTATTTTTTTCTCCGATTGATTCGCCTTTTGTCACTTGTCAAAATTATTCATGAAAAACATTAAGGTTGACACGATGAAACAGGATAAAATAAAGCAACGAAGACAATAGACCATTTTATTGCCTTTCAATTATCTTCGGGAGTACTTAGCACTAATGATTTGGCGTTAAAAATGGATAGTCATTAAACTTTTTTTCACATTACCCTTTCAAATATTTACCTGAAATGAATTCATTAGTATAACTAACTATTACAAACTGCAGGATCGTTTCCTCAACAAAAAAAAATGGTATTTAAGCGATGAAATATCACTTTTAATATCAGTTTGAGTTTGAACAACATTACAGTCAGATCTTTATTTTAAGAAGCAAAAAATTCATTCTTTTTTTGAAATTTCTAATAAAAGTTTGGAAAAGTTACACAGAGCATAATAATATTTTGAGTACTTGCTTGCGAAAATTTCCACATTTTATATCCATTCGCGCAAAATATTTCGTTTAAAAAAATTACCGGTTGTTATTAAATTGAATTCATAAATTATTCTGTTCAAGTGGATATATTTTTTGAACCAAAAAACTGACCGTCCTCACATAATTTGTGTTCAGATCTGTGTATTTGCAACAGAGGTCGCTGAAATCGTGAATTCGCCATTTCATGAGTCATTTGGACTTTCCACTTTTTTTCTTTGTTCTGCGAATGAAAAAAAACAGACATACTGTGTCTGTACCTGTCAACAACAACATCGTCACGTTTTCTATATTTTATTCAATTGTTGTAATGTTTGTAAAATTAGAATTAATTTTCAGCAAGAAACAATTTTGAATTAAAAAATTGATTGAACTGAGTCCGAAGTGCAGGCAAGACACATAAAATTAAGAATTGAAATAGTAACAACGAAAACACAAAAAAATGAACGATTCAATGAACACATCAATGCACCAAGATAAAATGTCTCATCAAAATGATAGTTTCTCGATGATTCCGAGGAACTTTGTGCCATCAACCAGTTCCACATCATCATCAATGTCACAGAAAACGAACGACAGTGGTGTATCAATGTCCAGCGGTCAAATGACATTTGCTCAAACCCAATTCATGAAAACGAGCAGCTTCCCATTTATTGATGATGTCAATAAATACAAACGAATCGCAAAAATTGGACATGGAACGTATGGTGAAGTGTTCAAAGCATGTAATCCAACAACAAATAAGATCGTTGCATTGAAACGCGTTCTCGATGATAATAAAAAATTTGGCTTTTCAATGACAACATTGCGTGAAATTCGTATTTTACAGCAGATCAATCATGAAAATGTTGTGAATCTCATCGAGGTTTGCCGATCAACATCTTCCGTTGGTGGTTATCATTCCAATTTCTATTTGGTTTTTGAATTTTGTGAACATGATTTGGCTGGTCTGCTATCAAACACCAATGTTCGATTCAATTTGGGCGAAATTAAGAGCATACTCAAGCAACTGTTGAATGGAATCTATTTCGTTCATTCGTGCAAAATCTTTCATCGTGATTTAAAGCCCGCCAATATCCTTGTCACAAAAACTGGCGTGGTTAAATTGGCCGATTTTGGTTTATCAAGGCAATTCAATTTGTCCGACAAGTATAGACAAGCAACGCCAACAAACCAAGTGGTCACCCTTTGGTATCGATCACCAGAATTACTTTTGGGTGATATAAATTATGGTCTGGCTATTGATATGTGGAGTGTCGGTTTGATAATGGCCGAAATGTGGACGAGATCACCAATTTTACAAGGAAAAACCGAACAAGAGCAAATCTATCTTATTTCACAATTTTGTGGTGCAATTACACCAGAGGTAAATACATAAATCGAATTTGTTTCGAGAGAAGTTTTAATATAACTAATTCGATTATTTTTTTCTCTCTCTTTCTCTCACACATTCTTTAGGTTTGGCCAACAGTTACGGAACTTCCATTGTATAAGACACTACATTTATCTAAAGATCCGACCCGAAAAATAAAGGATCGACTAAGACCATACGTGAAAGATTTCCATGCTCGTGATTTAATTGATAGTTTATTAATATTGGATCCAACGAAACGTTTTGATACAAACGCCGCTTTGGACCATGATTTTTTCTTCGTCGATCCCTTACCGGCCGATTTAAGCAAATTATTTGCAAAACATCACAGAAGTATGTTTGATTTGCATACTCGGCAACGGCCTCCTAATGCCAATCCAAATCGCACACAAGATGGCGGATACATGGATCATGTGTATTAAAAAAACACACTAAATTACACTTGGAGAGAGAAATAAGAAATGAAAAAAAAAAAACAAAAACAAAAAAACTACAACTATATATTGATATTTTTAAATTAATTTGTTAATTCTGTATATATATGTATATATATCGGTCATAGATTCTGACCAGGGGACAAAATCCCTCCCCTCGAGCGTAAAAATTATTCGATTTTCCTAGAGTTTTCCGTACTCTTTAAAAAAAATCGATTTTCCTAAGGGTTTTAAGAATCTTTTTGCGCATTACCCCTCCCTTAAATCGTTAACTCCAGAATCTATGATATCGGTCATTTTTTTCATATTTTTTTGTTGAGAGATTTATTTTCCATTCTGGAAAAAAATGTTTATTACGAAGTTGCAAACTGAAATGTTAAACGGAAAAAACTGTATTCATATTGATTACAGCACAAAAAGGAAATAAAAAGTTCAAAATAAATGAAGATTAAAAAAGAATCACATAAATAACGATTAAAATTAATAAAATGTAATGAGTCCAAGAGACTTGAATAAGTCGCATTTAATAAATTTGTTTTTTGTTTTGTTAATTAAAAGTATTTTATTCGAAGGAGATAAAACAAAAGAATGTCTATAATTCAATTGAATTTAATATTAATTCATATATTTCACATTTTTTTCTATGAAAAAATAATACATTTGGAAAAAAACTGCTTGACCGTCTGCATCAGTGTTGCCAAAAATATTGAATTCGCTACATACTTCGCCTTAACTTAAAGCTTAAAGTTCTGCTAATGAAAAAAAAAAACAATTGATCTGTCACTGTCAAATTTCATGAGATTTTGTATGTGCTTCAACCGATATTCATTATATTTCATTTGATTGTTTTTTCGTTGTTGTTGTCTGTGCATCATAATGCGTATTTAACGTGTATGTTTTACCCTGCAGAAAAAAATTCTAGCAATTGTCATGCCTCAGTTGTGTTGAGTGTATCGTTAATATTTCCATGTGATAAAGTGTATTAGAAAAAAGACTTAAAAAATGGCAAGTAGAGGCGGCCGCGAAGTGGGCAACGAGCCGATGGATACATCTGCATCGATGCAAAATTCATCCACATCTCATCATCATTTTAGTTCTTCGGCAGTGCCGCCGATGCAAGCATCTTCATCAAATTCGACAACAGCAACCACATCATCATCATCAACATCACAACGTTCAAATAGTGGCAGTACAACAACGACTAGTAGCCAAGCAATGCTTACAAAATACAAATATATCGAAAACTATGATTTTCCGTATTGTGATGAGTCGGGCAAATATGAAAAAGTGGCCAAAATCGGTCAGGGTACGTTTGGTGAAGTGTTCAAAGCACGCGAACGTCGATCAAACAAGAAATTTGTCGCTATGAAAAAAGTTCTTATGGACAATGAAAAAGAAGGTGTAAGTACAGTTACACCAATTTTACCCAATAATAAATTATTTTGATTTTTTTATTTGTTTGTTGTTTTTTTTCCTCACAGTTTCCGATTACAGCGTTGCGTGAAATTCGAATTTTACAGCTGTTGAAACACGAAAATGTAGTGAATTTAATCGAAATTTGTCGCACAAAAGCAACAGCCAACAATCGATATCGGTCCACGTTTTATTTGGTATTCGATTTTTGTGAGCATGATTTGGCCGGACTGCTGTCAAACATTAATGTTAAATTTAGTTTAGGCGAAATTAAAAAAGTTATGCAGCAATTGCTTAACGGTTTATATTACATTCATAGCAACAAAGTGAGTAGAAGTGGTTGTTTGTCTATACGCCGGACATTCTATGTAAATTTTCCATTTTTTTTTCACAGATTTTGCATAGGGACATGAAGGCGGCTAATGTTTTAATTACGAAAAATGGTGTATTGAAATTGGCTGATTTCGGATTGGCTCGAGCATTTAGTGCATGCAAAACAGGACAAGTAAATCGATACACAAATCGTGTAGTTACTCTATGGTACCGACCACCAGGTATGTTTAATAAAAGACGGAATCCAGATTGTCTGTGTTATTTGTTGTTATTGCCTATAAATCGACGATATGAACATGTGTAAACTAAATGGTATATAAAGTACTACTATTCATAAGTTCGATTTCAGTCTAGATATAAATGGTGCAATTGGTACAGCATTTTTGTTTTCAATTGAAGACCGTCCAATTAATTTGTCTTATGTTTTTAAATGCAGAATTACTTCTCGGTGATCGAAATTATGGACCGCCGGTCGATATGTGGGGTGCCGGTTGTATTATGGCAGAAATGTGGACCCGTTCGCCAATTATGCAAGGAAACACTGAACAACAACAGATTATATTCATCTCTCAACTTTGTGGCTCATTTACACCGGATGTAAGTCGAATTTTGTCGATATACTTAAATCGAATTGAAATTGAATATGATTTAATTTTTTTTATTCGCTTGAATAAAATATAGGTATGGCCAGGAGTTCAAGATTTGGAATTGTATAATAAAATGGAATTGCCAATGGGTCATAAACGAAAAGTAAAGGATCGACTGAAGGTATATGTAAAAGATCCACATGGCTGTGATTTGCTCGATAAGTTGTTGCAGTTGGATCCAAAGGCGCGTTATGATGCTGATGGTGCATTGAATCATGATTTCTTTTGGTCGGATCCAATGCCGTGCGATTTGAGTAAAATGTTATCGCATCATTTGCAATCGATGTTTGAATATTTGGCACCACCAAGACGACCAGGACATATGATGCGTCACTATCAGCAGATGAATGCAAGCCAAATGCAAAATCGTACACAGGACAACAGCTATCAAGATCGTGTTTATTAGATACGTAGATAGGAGTTTCATTAAGCAATTTTATTCGGTGTTTTGTGTTAAAACGGAAACCAAAACACCACCGAATATGAGGAGAGAAAAAACAAACGGTATATCGACTTACAAATAATATTTTATATTTAGGAATTAACGACCTTACAGGCGATATTATATGAAATATCTATCATATAATTACTTTAGACTGCATTTTTGAGTTTGCTTTGGCAAAACAATATTCACTCAAGTTGATCATTTTTTTCATTTCTTTTTTTTTTGTAAAATTTCGCCAAAATGTTGAACAAAAATCGGTTAACAATATTGTATTTATTTTTCGTTCTTTTTTAATGCGAAAATTATTTTTGTAACTCATACGTATATCGGTTTTGAAAATTTTATAAATTCATTTGGCAACTCTTTTTGTTTTGTATTTAACATCTTAGTTTTGTTGTGAAAGTGAATTAATTTAGACGACGAACCAAATATTTGTATTATCCATTGTAAATCTCCTTATTGAACAAGAGACAAAATGATTAATGTGTTAACTACATTTGTATTTTATATTGCATGCAGTACACTGTATCAGTACTGTACACTAGGGTGTTTCCACATGGAAAATATTAAAAAGTGGCTAGCATCATTTTGAAGAGCGTAAAATTCTGTATAAGATCATTTGATTTTCGATGCTGATTGGTCGCCGATGTCACTTCCTGGACTAAAAACACATTTGTAAATTGATTTCATGTCGCATTCACGCCAAAATCTGTAATTAATGAAATTTTAGGATTGAACAAAATTAAAATCATGAAAAATAATTTTAATATCAATATTATTGCTTAAATATTTAAAAAGTAACACAAAAACTAACAATTTTACCACAATAAACCAAAACAATGCAAAATTGCCAATTCATTTGACACATAACCTGTCATTTGTCATGCGTGAGCGAATCACGCTTCAAATGTCATTCTGTCAAATGAATTGGCGAATTTGCATTGTTTTGGTTTATTGTGGTAAAATTGTGAGTTTTTGTGTTACTTTTATTAATATTTAGGCAATTATTTTGATATTAAAATTATTTTTCATGTTACTTTTCCGCACACACCTTGTGTGTAAGGTAAAGTATTGGAATCGGTCGAAAAATTAACACCCTCAAAAAACATGTTTTCTGGGTGTTTTAGGACCCAGGGAACACGAATCTAGCGTTTTTTCGATGTCCGAATGTATGTGCGTGGTACCCTGTACGCTGTACGCTGTACGCTGTACGCTGTACGCTGTACGCTGTA